TTGCTTGATTAAGTATATGTACGAGATCATTACGAAGTTGATTTGTTTCTTCAAACGTGTTACCTCCTGATAAAAGATCGTCAATATAAAAATCGTTTAGTATCACTTGAGTAGCAATGCCAAACTTGTTCTGATTTAGAAACGCTAATTCATTTAAACATCTTACTGCTAGAAACGGAGATGATGTGATTCCAAATGTAACGGTTGTAAGATTGTAAGTTTTAATTTCGTGAGATTTATCATCCCTCCACAGAATTCGTTGATACTGCCATTGTGATTCGTCTAACCCGATTTGAAGATACATTTTAGTAATATCGGCCGAAATTACGAATTGATGCATTCGAAATCTACACAAAATTGAAAATAGATCTTGTTGTAAAGCAGGACCCGAATAAAGGGTGTCGTTCAGACTGATACCATTGTCACTTTTAGCAGAAGCATCGAAAACTATACGCACTTTGGTGGTCAGACTGCTTTCCTTTATGACAGCATGATGCGGTAAATAAAACGCATCTTTAGTATCGACCTCGTTGTTGGCAATTGGTTTTAAATAATTTTGATTAATATATTCTGAAATATTTTGATGGTACTCCTTTTTCAAAGAATGTTGACCTTCTAACTTTTTCTCCAATTTTAGGAAGCGGCTTAATGCCAATTGCTTTGAGTTGCCGAAAGTTGGTGCGTCCGGATTAAACGGTAATTTAACTACAAAACGACCCTCGGCATCCCTTTTGCGATTATTTTTGAAATGCTCTTCGCAGTAGTCTACGGTTTGTGTTAGAAAGGGTCTCATACCTACATCTACTTGTTCAATTTCCCAAAACCTTTGCAGCTGTGTTTCCAGCTTGTGAATAGAGGAGAAGTGACAGGAAGTCATAAATTGTTTGTTAATCGGATAATGGACGGCACCTGAATCTATCCACCCTAAACACGTGTTTTGTAAAAGCGGCTTGCCCTTACCGAGCGGTAAATGACCGCTGCGAATTATCTCACAGTATGTCTCGGCGCCCGGTACAGGAAAAAAGGCCCCTGGAAAAAAAACTCCGCAATAAAAACCCCCGGAATAAAAACCCACGGAAAGAAAACCCCCCGGAAAGAAAACCCCTGAAAAAAAACCCCGGAAAAAAACCCACGAAAAGAAAGACCCCCTGGTAAAAAAAACGGAAGAAAAACCACAGGGAAAAAAAGGAAATATTGCGCGAGAGCTAAAGTTGCATATTGTTTACTGAAACAGGAATATCAAACAGAACTCGGTTGAGATATTCTATTAACAAATTTGCACAATTTTCACCAAATACATAATTGCATAATATCCTAAACTACCATTAACCCTAATTAAACCTAATATTATGACTTATAGCTACTAAGAAGTTTACCACATCTCTTTGTCCGGCGCTGTATTCTTCGCAGATATTTTTTAGTCTACTTTGCAGCAGTACATATTTTGCTTTCTTCCTTTTTGGGATTAATTGACCTAAATGTTGTTGGTGTAATTTTAAATGAATTTAAAGTATGTTTTCGCAAACGTGATTAAGATCACAATCATTTGTTAATATTTAACAGATGAATAATGTTGGTTTGAGCCCATGTCATTTGGCAAACATCAAAAATCGACCAATCATATACCATATAATCATTGATTAACGAACACTCTTTGTGAAACCGGGTATAAGTCATTGAACAACGCTTTTTGCAAGCTAATTCAACACAGGAGTACACTGTTTGCACTTTTAGAAATTTTACGAAGGGCCGGTTCCACAATGCAAGTACCTATATACCAGGTGTATAAGCTATTTCAAGTATAAAATCTAAAAATTCAATCCAATTTTCAGATTTTGTACTTGGAATAACTTTTACTATAGGTATATATTACTTGCCTTGTACAATCGCCCTAAGATGTATACCTACCTATTGTAGAGGGGTTTTCATTCCAGAGGTTATTTTTCCGGGGGGTTTTCTTTCCGTGGGGTTTTATTCCGGGGGTTTTTATTCCGGGGTTTTTTTTCACGGGTTTTTTTTCCTAGACTCCAATTTCACCAGGAATGTTGAAATTAGAATCTGCTAATTTTAAGTTACTGGGAATTTGGAGATGGTCAATGTCAAAGAACTGCGGCGGTAATTGCTCAGAAATTTCTTTAACAATGAGACACTCTAGATTTGTTACAAAATTCGAATGATTAGAGTACATGGTAATGCGTACTAATTTGTTGAGTGCAGTATTGTTTCGATTAATACTGGTCACCAAAAAGTTTGTGGGAACAGATGGCAATCTTAATTTATCAAATGCCTGTTTTGTTATAAAACAACTGTGTGATGCATTGTCTAGTAAGCATCGAAGTTGATGTTTCCGACCAACACCATCGCCAACCATTACTAACGCGGTATTTAGTAAAACTTGTGGATGATTGATTAGTGTCCGTGAATAAATTCGTACTGGTAGTTGCCATGGAAGATGACTGCTCCTGAATGGAAACTCCATCGTTTTGAAGTTGCAAATCATCGTCCTTGTGTATTAAAACATTATGGGCTTGCTTACAAATTACGCACCATTTTATTCTGCACTTCTCTTGTGAATGATTTCCCTTTCCTAAACATTTAAGGCACAGACTGAGCTGTTTAGCTTTCTTTATTCGGTCATTAATACTTAAAGTAAGAAAATCGGGACATTTAAATGCAACCCGATGATCGGTTTGATTACAAATATCGCCGCTTTATTTATACTGACGTAATTGCTCGTTTTTTTTACTTTTATTTGGGAGCTGATTATTTGTTTTGTCCATAACCCCTAACTTACTTGGTCCGGGTGTGGGTGTGTTAATCGAACGCAAAATATTAAATCGTTTTTCTAAAAAGTCCGTTAATTCTAAAAGGGTTGGTAACTTACTCGACAGGGTAGTTTCCCATTCTTTTTTTGTATAAAAGTCAAATTTAGCTGCAATGAGAGGAACAATTAAAGGATCCCATGTAGAGGTATCTATCTCTAATGCGTTTAATGACGCTAGGTTTTGAGTGATATCATCAATTAATTGCCGAAGCGGAGCATGTGAATTTTTAATTAGTTGAGGGCTATTTATAATTTTTTGGACATGTTCTGTGACAACAAGTCGCATATTTTTGAAACGTTTTGCTAAAATTTCTAAGGCCTTCGGATAGTTGTCATTAGTTACCTTTAGAACGTTTATCGATGCACTTGCTTCTCCTGTTAAACAACCCTTCAAATACTCTAACTTATCAGCGTTTGATAATTTTTCGTTCTTGTGAACGCTACGGTCAAAACGATCAAGGAATGAATGATATTCCGCGTAATTACCGTCAAATTTCGGAAGCTCTAATGTAGGTAGCTTTACCTTCAGAGGATTTTGAATTTGATCGCGCAATGGAGTTTGATGGTTTGAGGCCCTATTCGATTCAAAATTCTCGATATGTTGTTCAATCAAAGCCAATACACGAAAGTAATTAGTTTCGAAATTGAGCCGTTCGTTAACATCGTTGCTTATCGCCTTGGACTCCTCAATTTTGTCTTGAATTTCGTCAAATTGATTAAACATTGCATTTATTGTGGGAATTCTGACCTTTAATTCCGTGATGCTTTGTTCAGAGTCATTAAATTGTTCAATGAACGTTTGCATGCGCGAGAATTTGTCTTTAATAAAATTGCGTTTGTTGATTAAGTTTTCTACGCCCTTTGTCATGATTAAGACTTGTTTGAATTAGTTAGGATTTACAAGAAAGGATTAAGAAAAAGTGAGAACCACCGACTTACCGCAGACTTTTGTGACGCCCCAGGATGATTCCGCCTTTCCCTTTGACTGTGAAGAAATGCGACGTGGTTCCGTGAAGGCTGGCTACTTCGCACTGTGTTTTAGTTTTAGTTGTTTAAGTTTTCTACCTCGCGACTTTATTTATTGCGATATATTTATTTATTTCTAAATCCGGCTCGAAGGACCATATGTTCGTCGCGATTAATAAAATACTTTTAATTGGTGGTTCGTTTATTAAGATGTTTGCTTGACTGCATCGTATTTTCGACTGACTTTCTTTGGGGTAGAAAAGTTCTCCAGCTACCTGCTCTTTCTCCCCGGCGGTCACCCACCGCAGGTATAATTTGTTCGTACAATTGTATTGATTGTCTTTGAAACATAAAAGGGATGGCAGAGCAAGCGACTGAACGCATGGGAACTATAATGAATTGAACTACTTCAGATTTAAAATTTCTTTTTGGTAGTTTCTCAGCTCGTTTCTCAGGTTGTGGGGAACGCACTGAAAAGCACTAACAATGTGATTCGGTTCGATTGTTAGTTGTTCCAATACGAGTTATTGCACAGGAATGTATCTGTTTCTCGCAAAGTATCGTTAGTGGACATGCAAGATATAAGGCACTATGTGAGTGGGACGAGTAGGTCACGAGATTGTATATAGAAGTGAATTTGCTCACAACTGGTATTGTTCACACATAATTTCACCTTTAAATTTCACTACATTTCCTTCATAAAATTGCAGACAATAAAAAATAATTGCCAATATTATTACCCTGACATGAAATCAACTTTTTGTATACCAGAAATGCTTAACGTAGAACTCTCTGGAATTGTAAAGGGAATAAACGTCAAAATTAATGTGGAACCATCTTTGTGATAAGGGTTTTTTTTGTCAACGGGCAGCGAATAAATTAATTTGAGGTGCTTTTTTATAGCATATAAGAGTTAAATATTTAGCGCGATGAAAACTTGGTGTGTCAGAAGTAATTGTTGACCATTCTTTGCAGGGTTTAAATTACGTTGGAAAGAGTCGTACTTTATACAAACATATATCGTTTGCATTTAGAATGTCGTGTGTTTAAAATATTTATTCGGAATATACCCGAGAAATACGCTGTTCTGAGGACTCCATTTAAATAATTTCGAATGCAGGGATATAATGTGATTTTAAAATTTTTATTGTGGGATTACAGCGAAGCTTTTGCATTACTGCGTGGTTGCTAAGAGAGGGTGTTGTTTCAGGTACCAGGTTCGACGTCTACGTCGGTCAAAGTAGATGAGGACCATTTGGAAAGTGCAACCAGCCGATTAGAACTGACGGGTGTTGGTGGCAGTTGGGGCACGATTCGACTGCGATGCGAAGCATCTTTATTTAGATTGTACAAAGCTAATAGTTTAGAATTAGAAGTTAAGCCAGATGCACCAACTCCGCAACCTGCCTCTGTGCTCTTAATGGGTCCTAGTATGAATGGTAAGTGTCTATTCGTTTCTTTAAATTGCATAAATTTAGCCTGATTTCGTAAGGTATATTTGTTTCTGCCGTTAGAAGGTATATAGAACGAAGAGGATACTTACCGAACACAAAAGAAGCATTGCGGGACCTAACGTTGAGCTGTGAATCGATAGCTAATGAGCATGAATAACTTGCTTTTACAATGTAGTTGCGCTCAACGAGCTTATATCTAACTACATACTACTAAAATAGGTGCTATAGAACTTTATCTGACTACAATTTGGTTGGATTCTAGATTCTCTTGTTAACATTTTCCGGATGGAAGTTTCAATCAGACTGGAAAATACACGGATCGAACATAAATCTTTTGGCAGCAAGATTGCCATAAAACTGATGTTTAATGTTCGTTTTTATTTCATTAGAGCTTTGCGTATAAAATATTCGGAGAGGCGCAACGTATTTGTGACCAGAATATTTGGGAAGAGGTGTAAGGATACTACCCTTATGACAGATCCCACTCCCACAATGAATCAATTACACCTTTTTTAGTTGTAATTGATGGGGTGGGGGGAGTAAGATATAAAATACCACCTCTTGATATAAAATTGCCAGTACTAACATCCAAGATAGCGACTATGGTCCGATTGTAATTTTTTCGAATGCAGAGAACCTCATAAAAAACGTGTTAAAAAACCGTACTGATGGTAACTACAAAAACGTTAATAACAAAAACAATCGAACTCAAATTCATAACAGGGTTTCCCCTCTCTTAATCACACCTAAATAGCTCTAGGGACACTTTCTGACCCGAAGGCCCAATCTTCAAATGAGTATAACTATTGTCTGAAAAGTGATTTTAAAAAACTGTTCGAAACACGTTGGGCCATTCGCTTTTATTGGGAAAAAGTGCTTGTTTTCATCCCTGCTACCACCTAATCTTTTTACATACTTCTTTTAGGCCCTCACAATATATTAAAGTCCATAGCAACAATGAGTGTGACAATCATGGTTGCCATGGATTTTAAGCTACACTTAAATTTGTTGGTGCAGACGGCTATGAGAATTAGCCAATAGAAACAAGGTATGGTTTCGTTGGTTAGTGACGCACAATAAACCTTCGTTTCTAGTGACCATTTCTTAATGATCTAATGATAGTGAACGACTAATGGCCGTTTGCACCGCCTGCCGTTAAATAGTAAGAGACGGTTAACTCCTAGACGAAATGTTAAGGTCGTTGCACCGCAGCGCAAAGTGTCAATTACGTGGCGTGACTACATACCTCCAAAAATAATTAACGGAATAATTTCGGTGCATATTGCTATGTAAAAATGTCAATGTGGACGTTGATTTTTTAGCCAGACGCCTAATAACCAAGCTAATAACGGATCAATAGTTATTAGTTAAATGTTCCTCTCAAAATATTTCATTAGTCTGGTAGGGTTTTTGTCGTTTTAAAAGATTAATTTCTAGTATTGTTAAATGTAAGGAAATGTATCATTTCTTTTGTTTTGCTTTGTTTTTTTTATTTATTTATTGTCCCTCTCTTGTTCTGGGCCCTCAACAGGCTTTCGCCCAATTACACATTGACCCGCATAATGCTTTTTAGAAGTGCCCCAGCAGAACGTCTTAAGTTGTTGTATCCGGTATTTACCTTACGAATTAGGAAAACTGCAGGAAAACCTAATTCGGAGTAGCCGCCAGAATGTTCGAAACTGATCTAAGGAAATTCCCATCTCTGCCACAGATGAGAAATTCACCTCAACCCAGGTTCGAACATCCGGTCTCCCGGCTATTAACCCAACGTTCTATTACTGAGCCACACAGACGGATAAATTGCTAAATCATGGAAGTGGCAGTTCTGTTTAAACTTATTGTAGCCAGGCTAAGTCAATGCAGTAAAATTACGTTCTTGGCGTCCCGAAGAAGAGATAAGTTAAAGAAAAAAAAGTGTTCAGAATAAATTGTATCTATCATGTAAATCGTGTGATTATTCGAACCCTTTAACGATCAAAAGTCTCATGCTTAATTATGATCAATTTGATGATCCTTACCCAAAGTTTTTTCAAGTGTTTTCAAAATTTGTTTAAGTAACTCTTTTTGGAATTTAAGGGATTTGATAGCGGCCATTTGCCATAAAATTTGGAATTGAAGTCGAGATTGGAATTTTTTATTGTACCGTGGTTTAGATGTGTCCAGGGAAAATTTTAATAAGAAGGTTTAAAGTGTTTTGTGTATGGTTCAACTTGTCCGGACAATTGCACACAGCATTATTATTTGCTCACCCAACATGCACTATTTTTGTATGCGGCCCGAATATTAGGCTCACAGCAGTATTTATTAGTATTAACTACCTGAATGGATAGAAGTTGTAGTTAAAGATTTTAATCGGGTGCTTTGAAGGAAAATCGAATAAACGAATTTTAATTTATAACGATTAGCAATTCCCCGTCATTTGAAACCAAACTTCGATAACAGCGCAAGCACATGCATGCATGTCTACAATTTGCATTGCAGATTTGGATTTCAGTTTTGCAATTGATGCCACACATAGAAAAGTTATTTTACAGTTCACTTAGGCAAATTAATAAAAAAAGATAGATTTTATTCCAATAGCAAACTGAAAACTCATTCGCGAAAGTTGCGTCTACCGTATCATTTTTACGAAAACATGTTTTGCAAGGAAATGATGATGTTTTCTTGCGATTATGAACTTGAAATAGATGATGTAATTTGTAGGACTAAATGTATTTGGTCAAAAATGGATGTATACAGTGATGTTTATTAACTTATTGTTTTTCCCTATGTCTACTTTTAAATGAAAAAATCTCTTCTGAAGGACGTCGTAATTTTATGCAACTTCTTAAAACAAATAAAAATCTTTTTTTATTGCCAACCCCATGTTAAGATGATTATTTTAACGTTCACCACCTGGTCTTGGGCGTTACTTGATGTTAGATGTTTTTTTCAAATGCAATCTCTATGTTTTTAAGATCTTTGAAAAGAGCATCACGGCATAACCCCCTAAAATACGGATATGGTTGATATATAGGTACAAAAAAAATATTGAGAAATTTGTGATTCAATACTTAGAAAACTTATGAAATCTTGCATACCGTGTGCTGTCAGGATGCGCGGTGACTGTTGTGTTACATGGAGAGGTCGTATCGCGCAAAAGTAAATCTTCAAAACGTAACATTGATGTAGGAAACACAATATTAAGTTAAAACACGTATACGGTCAATTGATCTCTCGTGAGGTGCATAGAGGGGAAACATAGCTTAGGTCTTCTAGTGTTAATTTCATAACAATTGCATCAATTTACCGATTAAACACTCCGCAAGGTAAAGTAGTTATTTTTAACTGTTTCTGGATGTATTTAAATATGGAATAACCACGTACAAGCGAAATGTCAAATGACAGACGAAAAACTAGTGCAAATGTAAGACGTGCGTTTTTGACCGCCAATATGAATTGCACAGCAGACGTAGACTAATCTTGACATAATAAGGGTTGTAGTAAATAAAAATTGAAAAACTAAATTAAATTTTTGTATAATTTTTTAAACCAAACACGTGTATAATATGCAAATTTAGCTAGGGGTTTTGCATTCTCATGTTCCTAATTTAAAAGTAATTAAAATTACTAATACAACTCACATAACCTCACAGGGTATGTAGTTTCCAATTTTTTTCATGTTTTTTTTTCATGTCATGTAAGTAGAAAATATAATTCATTTCCAATTATTATAATGTGTTTCACTCTCAAACGTGGTCTGGTTGTCGCCAACCTAAAAAATCAATTAACAGTTATTATTAATAGGTGGAGTAATTTCGGTACAATTATCGTGAACAACGGCCTTTTACGGTAATTTGGCGCTAATGCACAAATTTTGTTTTCCCAACATTTGAAGCGTTAGTTTTGCGATTATTAACAAAAGTTCAAACTTTGAAAGCTCCTTTGTAATTACGGTCTTGTCTTTGCACATATTTTGCGCACTCCACTGAGTCGCAAGATCCCTTCGGATTACTACTAAAATTATATAATCGATATACTCCGTAAGTATTTAAGCCGCCACCTTCATAAATAGTTTAGTTATACAAAGTTAATCCGCAGATACCACCACATTGTAAAAAATCGGGCTGAATTTATGATGGAACGGATGCAGAAGGAAAATCTGGATGCCGTATTTTAATTTTAATCGAGGGGGGAAATGAAATTTTTGCACTTTGAATCGCGTTTTTTTGTTAAACTTGAAAAAGTTTCGTGTATGCTAAGACTTAACTCCATTACGTATTAACAAGTTGGCTTATTTGAAATGCAAAAGGTCATAAACGTCGTTTTTATTTAAAAAACTTTGTACTAAGTATAGGCAAAGGTGAAAAACTTTAGTGGCGAGCAATTAAATAGTAGTTTGTCGCAGCGTATATTTTTTTATTTACTTACTTTGTAGATAACTTCACGATCGATGTGGCCAGTTTACTTTAAGAGATAAAACTCATCTTTTTAGTTTCAGAGAGGATTGATGTGGCGTCGAGGACAACGGAGTTGGATTTATCGGGATCACTATTTGATTTACGCATACGAATTTTAAATCTCATCGGTGTCTTGCTATTTCCGTACTAAGCCTCAATTACATTATTAAACATGCAGAATCGTTACTGGCATTTGTTGTCCTGTCCCGACAAATAGATAGGTACTTGATCAACAATGGCTATCATTCCCGGTAACAATAAAGAACATTATTATCAGATCCCATATATCCTGAATTGATCTGCTACGACGTATGTACCTATCGCATAATGAATTGTATAATTGATAACTCAGGTGGTTTGTTACCTATAGTACCTGGGAACAGAAAGTAAACTTCAAAGTACCTACCTATAGCTAAGACCTCGGCTAAGACATTAAAATTACCTAAGTATTGGTATACTCGTAGTTAACGGTATTTTTTATTATACCTGAATCACAATCTCCGTTTTAAACACTCAAATGCGTGCGAAAAAGGGCCTTTAAAACAC